TGCTCATATGCATTTAAAACTTCTGAGAACACAGCATATCAGGGAGACACTAATTCTTGCCAAAATAATGCCTGTGGTTTGCAGAGTGCTCCAGGGTCAAGGTTCCTATTGATGTGTGGTGGCAAGCGAACACTCAAGGAAGAATTCTTGAGATTTTTTTGGTGCAAAAAGGTGCTTTTATTATAGCACAGGGACAGGACCTGTGTGCAGAAAGAGCTGTCCTTTTGCTGGTAGTTATATGCCTAGTGCTCAAGGGGGAGGGATGTGCAGGCACTATTAGATCACACATGTCTTTGAATTTCTACTTGTAAAACTACTTCCGTAAGATTCCTCTGGTGCTTATCATTCAGCTCAATATTAACTATCGGTGAGATGTACAGGCAATCATAAGACCCTTGAAGAATGTAGCAACCAGTACATATTTGATCCTTATCGAAACTATGCAGGCTGTAGGTCAGTCTTTTGGGCTAAAGGTGAACATTTTTCTGCTTCTATTCCACATCACTATGTCCCAAACCAACTAGAAATCAAGGAATGATTTTGTAGAGGGGGATATTTCTTTAAGCCCGTTGGCCTGCTTATGTATTCCGTCTACTTGTCTACTTCCCTAGAAGTATTTATCCAGTGAGTTTCAGAGAAAGTGAGGCACTGGAAAGCGGGGAGAAGTTTGTGACATGTATATAATAGTATCTTCCTTGCTGGCCAGGGCGAAGCAATAGGTGGACAAAAGAATCATAAAGGATGGTCAGAGAGGGAAGGAGGCATGGAGGAATAGTCATGGTGTGGTGTCCTGGGAAGAAACACTTTGTCTCAATGTCTGCTTTACTTCCTAGTCAATTTGATTTTGAATCTCAGGTGTTTACATAGGACCAGATGCCAGATGGAACCTTCCTTAGTTGTGAAATATGTACCCAGGGTTTAACACTTTGAAATTTAGCAGGGCCCTTTCCATGAGTCTCACTTTTGCAAAAATACAAGTAAAACAATGATATTGTTAATGACTATTCATTATAATGAAATTGTTATTTCTGTGAGAAAGCATTTTAAGATAACAGGAATTATAACTCAACATACCAGTACATATCAGATTTTTAGGAATTTAATGTGATTTTTGAAACATTTACATTAACAACATATCTGTATGGGTATGGATATAGCCTAAGAAGGTTAACATCACTAACTTGACAATGTTTCCTCTATAATTTAACATCAAATAAGCCTAATTAGGCTTAACTTTTGTTCTATCTCCTTATTAGAAAAAATCTTTGGAGATGTGCCAGGGACCCTCTAGAAAATGTCCGTTAATTCAAAGTCAAAAAGACTTTGTTTAGAATTTGAGTTGGGGGAATTTTGCCAAAGATACCCATTTACCAATTAACTTCAAAGGCTAATAACAAAGTTACATATTTATTTTTTAAAACCCTTAGTTGTTGTAATAATGAGAAGACTGGGTTAAATACTTGAAGACCTGTTAAAGACAACATGAAGCGTGGTCAAGTATTTTGGTAAGACCACAAATTCTTTAATCTGCCTAGAAAGCAAATAAATTATTTATACTATCTTTAGCGCAGGTCAATAATCTAAGAACACTGTCCTTTGAACAGAAAAACAAATTCTAATTTTGTACCAGTGTACTTTTGATATCAAAACTCTTTTTTAAAACCTAACTGACTGAGCCACCCCTATTTAAGTGCCTGCCTTCAGCTCAGGATCCACGTTCCCTGGCTAAACAGATCTGCTTCTCCCTCTACCCCTCCCCTCTGCTTGTGCTCTCTCAAGTAAATAAAATCTTGAAGGAAAAAAAAAAAAAAAAAACATATCCATTCCAATCTTAGCCTTTTCCACAAACCAACAACTCTTTTAATATTCATTCAGGTTTTGTCCTTTTTCCTCTCATTGTGGAACAATCCATTGTTTCCCTTTGGACAAATTATTTTTCCTTTAATAAAGACATCTCCATATCTGATAACTTCTCTTACCCAAAACACATCCTGCCTTTATTGCAGAGATGTTTCCTTTATTTATGTATATAATTTAGAATTATTAGCCCCTTAGAATCATTAATCCTTTAACAGTAAGCAATTGGGAACTATCTGTTGGCTAGCATTTTGTGGATTGACAAATGTATAAATATATTTTATAACTTCAAGTATATTCCTCATAGGAAATTTTTCAGTGTGGCACAAAACATGTTTACTAATACACCCAAGTATTTTTATTTCCTCTGTAAAAGGAAGCCAAAAGTGGATAAACTTATGTTCAGTAGTTAAGGTCTCTGTATTTTATCTTACTTGTAAATGATCTAGATATTTAGTGAATGTCCATCATTTAATTTAACTCAGTATAACTTTAAGGTTTCAGGTCACAAAAAAATTTTGGGGAACAGTTTTTAAGGAAACCTACCATAAAGCGTAATTATTGTTGAAAATTTTATTTGTAAACTTTTCTCATTATTTGTTCTTTAGATTACTCATGAGACATTAAACAGCTAACCATCACCTTATTTGACTTTCAGTAAACCCTAGAAGGAATAAAAGTCCTATCTGTATTTAATATTGATAACTCTAAAGAACTGCCTGTTTTAATTAAGCCAAGAAGCTTAAAATAGCTTTATTTTTTAAACCAAAGATTTCCTAGATCACTTGAACTTGGAAAACATTTGAGTTAGTTTCTGTATTTCTGAGAGTATACTTGATTTATATAAACACGTTTGTCTTTAAGCAACTTAAATAGAGCTCTTTACAAATTAATTTTGGCAATACCATCTGTAGGTAGGATAGATGTTATATTTTTTCTATCTATAACAAACATACAGATGCAAACCGGTATCTTATAGCTTTTGTTTTAAAATTTTAGCCATAAAATGGATACAATAATATACTAAACTCACTAGTGTGTCAAGAATAACTGGATCCAAATTGTGTTTCTGGCAGATAGAATAAGTTTATCTGCTCAGATGGCTCAAACTTCTTACTAGAGTTTGTGGAGAAGACTTAAAAATTTTTCACTTACCTGATTTCCAAATAGCCTTAAAGTAACAATTGCCTCCCCAAGGTTTGCATTCCAAAGAAATGGCCCTTAATGGTTCCTAGAAAATACTGGTTGGAACATTTACATCTCAAAGGCACAGAAAAAGAATGTAAGTTCCTCCAAGAAGAATCTTTGTTTCCTAAGTCCAGAATTTTGATAACACCTACAAGCCTTTTGAGATGAATAGGGGAGCTTAAGAGGAGGGGTGGCCTTTTTCTGTTCTTGTAAAGACTCAATTTGTAAGACAAGGACATTTTTAATTCCTCAAAGAATTGGGTTGCACCCTGAATGGTACCAAGGGGTTGACCCACCCATCCAATCTTCAATTTGCTTTTTTATATCTGGAGGATGATCTTCAACTAAGAAATCAAAAGATTCCTGTGTTCTAGATTTAGAGCTGTTTGTGTTTGGCATTTTTCCAATGTATAAATTTCATTGTATCTTAAGGGAGAAGGCCTAAAAAGTTCTATCAGACTCTGAATATTTGCTTATTTGGCCAACTTCTGGCCATAGGGTACTATAGAGTTACTTTTTAAAAATCCTTGCAACTACCTTGCCAAATTCCAGCCAGCACAAAACATAAATATTCCTAGCAATATTTAATGCTCCGAAAGATTTTACCCTGCCAAGATCCATAACTTCTCCCAAAGATAACCAAAAGAAAAAAGGACCTTAGCAATTCCCTGATCAACACTTGGTAGGCCCCTAGACACAAATGAGGTACAACCCACATTTGTGTGCAGCCATCTTTTGGCACCCATCCTGACAGTTGAGCTGCCTACAGACACAAGAATGAGAGAGGGAACACAAGCAGGGGGAGTGGGAGAGGGAGAAGGCTTCCCGCCGAGCAGGGAGCCCGAGGTGGGGCTCACTCCCAGGACCCTGAGATCATGACCCGAGCCAAAGGCAGACGCTTAACGACTGAGCCACCCAGGTGCCCCAGTGTCTGACTCTTGATTCCGGCTCAGGTCATGATCTCAGGTGGTAAGATCGAGCCCTGCATTGGGCTCTGCAGGAAGTCTGCTTGAGATTCCCTCTCCCCCTGCCCCCCAGCTCTTGCACTCTCTAAAATAAATTTGTTTGCTGATACGGTACTCTGGGCAGGAGCTATTCCATCTTGGACCTATAAATTTATTTCAACAAAACTATGGCCTGTTAGCCAAATTTAACCTCTGGCCCTCTTTTACACAGTCTAAGAGATAGGGATGTTTTTACTTTTTTTTTAATTTTATTATGCTAATCACCATACATTTTTTTAAGGCTGAAAGGTGGTGGGGGTGTGTGACAGACGATATTTAGGTCACAAAATGAAATATTTATGGTGTGGCCCTTTACAGAGAAAGTTTCCTGACTTTAAGCCATTTGCACCTCTGGTTCAAATAGGAATGATTTGCACCCCTATTGAAGCAGGTGTATAAACCCTCTCATAAATAGACTTGGCTAATACAATGATACTTGATTATGGCTGCAGTGAGTTCTTTTTCCACTGCAAAGTGCGGATGGGAGGAGTAGATGAACAAGCCGTGGGGTGCCCAGTTTTAGAGGTGTCCACAATAAGCCTAAATAGCAATAAAAGACTACATCTCAACATAAACGCCTTAGGTTTTTTTTTTTTCCCTCATCTAGTAGAGTGATACGCACAGGTGTGATGTCCTGCATGCTACGATTGCTCAGCAAAGGGCAGATAAGTCATTGCATGATGTAGGAAAACTTGATGCACTTTTTAATTTTTTATCACACCATGGGAGTCTCCCATAAAGTAATAAAATTAAAATAAAAACAGGATCTGGGAAAAAATTCATTTATTCCCAGCTTTTTTGCAATTATATGCAAGATTCATGCTAATTTAGGCATACTTTATAGATAAGCACACAATTTAAATGCAAATTTTAATTGTGAATTTGACTGTTTTGAAAGGCTTAATGATACAACCCCAAGTTCATGCCTTAGCTACCAAATTTCAGGCCAACTTTTGCTACAAACCTCATGGGAAAATATCAAGTATATATGCATTTTCTCTAAGAAACTTTAACAGACTTGATGTCAAAGAAAAGCTACCTTCCCCCTAGCCATCTCCCATAGAAACCTTTCCAATCTTAAAAATATATTTTTATAGAAGTTCTCTATAGTCTCCGAAGAAGGACATCAATATAAAGTTTACCCACCTCATTCTCATGTGCCTTATTTTTCAAAAATACATCATCAGCTTCTGTATGTAGTATTACCAAGTAGTATACAGAAATTAAACCAAGTTTTTAAAAATGTGCCACAGCTCTTTGTAAAGATAAAATGCATTTTTCTTCTCCAGTAGACATTGGTTTACAGGTCTTCATTTAATTTGCTGGAATAAGAAGTGATTCAGTAGATCAATACATTTAATAAAAAGAAAGCCTTCTCCATTCATCCTCAGTGTCTGACACTCAAAACTAGTAATAGAAGATTTCTTAATAAACTTGTAAGGAATTAAGACCCTAGCATTTACCCTGTGTACCTGACTGGCAATGGTAGCTTCAGAGTTAATTCTAGTGTGATAAAGACATCATTCAGAAAAATCACACTATACATGTCCTCTTTCAAGAATTTAGCAAAGATTTGGAGTGAATACGTGGTTCCTTTAGTTTCAGTGCTGCTCGAAGTTACATGCAAGCAAACTGGATTTTTTTTTTTTTTTTTTTACTGGAACCCATTAAGCAAATACCACACACACGTTAGTACACACCTGGATGTCAGGTGGGTTCAAAGAAGAATTTCCATACTCCAAGTTCATTTCCTTTGGTCCAAAGAGGATAGTTGAGAATACTTAAGAGATTTCTGCATCACTTACCTGCAGGGCCCGTCCTTTGGTCTCAATGGGGAGAGTAAATGCAGAAATGGCACATACAACACAGACTGATGAGAAAAGACACAGGGCCCCCAGGAATGATGCACTCATAAGAACCTGCAAGTCACAAGGAATGACTCAATTTATTGTGCCCCAGTCACTTCTAAGTAGATTTTTATGTCAAAGGGGAAATCCTCTCTCCACCTACATGAATGGATGTCCTTTGCAGCCATTCTGCAAATAGACCTAAGATGTCAGGAATGCACTATTATTTATTTGGGCCCAGCTTTTGTAGGCATTTTGTGTGACCCTGTGAGTTAGGACTGACATTAACACGTCCTGGCCAGGTCAGACCTCTCTGCACCCACTCCTCGGTATCTCCAGAGCAAACCAGTATCTGGGGAAGAGAAGACATCTGGTTTTCCACACTTTCATACCAGTCTAGTTTGCTCAACTTCTAATTCTCATTGTATGCAGGACTCCCTCTGCCTAACTTCCACTTGTTCCCCCTTCAGTTCTGACAGGATGGATTAGGAGGAAGTTCTGTTTGGGGTTTTGGGGGGTTTTTTTGGAGATGCAATCTAATGATCTCTGAAAAGATAATCCATTTTATCTATGTTCACGATGCTTCACGTGTGACAATACTTTCTGTTTGGTGTCCATTTTTTTCCACATTCAGAGTGGATTTCTGCCAAGACCGTGCTCTGTTACTGGCAAGTTCAGGCACTCCCATCTCCAACATCTGTTAACCCAGGGCCGCCTCCAGTTAGCAATAAGCCAAGCACTTGGTAGTTGTCAACTCATCTCACAAGGATGGTTAAATGAAGTGACTAAGAACAGCAAGGCTCTCTACAGTCACAAAAATACTACAATTTGCCCCCCCTCCTTTTTTTTTCTTGCTTCCCTACAGAGATACCAGTCTGGGCTTCATAGCAGGACTCCAGCAATCCAGTAGATGTTACTGGATATTCTTCCAATAAGTTCCTTTCTGCCTAAGTTAACCAAAGTCAATTTCTAGTGTTTGTAAAGAACTATAGTGCCTGATTATAAAAATCATCTGAGAATTTTGTTACAACGTATATTCCCAGGCCCCTCTTTGATTCACTGTATCAAAAAGATCAATCTGTTAATCCTCTACTTCTAAAAATCAGCCCAGACCAGGGACAGAGAGTGACATTACACAGTGAAGAAAGGTTTAGCCCCCATCAAGACAACAATTCTAAAGGTTTACCACAAAGCTTCAAAATATATTCAGTAAAAACTGAAAGAAGGTCTAGATAAATCCACATATAGTTGGAGACTTCAGTACCCCTCTCTCAGTAATTAATAGAACTACTAGTCAGAAAACTGAGGACACAGAAAAACTTTATATGCCATCAACAGGGTCTAATTGACACAGAACACCTTACCCAACAACAGCAGAATACACATTCCTTTCTACTGCCCATGGAACATTCGCCAAGATAGACCATGTTCTGGGGGCATAAAATGAACCTTAAAAGATTTAAAATCCTAGGGTTGCCTGGCTACCTCAGTCAGTAGAGCATGCGACTCTTGATCTCAGGTTTCTAGGTTCAAGCCCCACTTGGAGTATAGAGATTACTTAAATCTTTAAAAACAGAACATGTTCTGACTAAAAGAGTATCAAACTAGAAATAACAGATAACACCAACATCTCCATGTACTTCTAAATCCAGGGGTCAAAATCTCATGAAAAATGAAAATACAGAATATTAAATGTGTGGGAAACAGCTGATAGGGACAAAAATAAAATACATAGGAATAAACAAGAAATGTATAAGTATATGAAGAAAATTATAATATATAAAATTGACTAAGTCTATTTAGTTCTTAGAAAAATGTACTGTGAAAGTATACTTCTCAAAATAATCTGTAATTCTAATGGAGTCTCAATCAAAATCCCAGTAGGATTTTTTGAGTTGATTTTGGGGGGGAAATTGATTCTAAGGTTAATCTGGAAGAATGAACATCTAAGAAAAATCAGGGAATTTCTGGAAATGTGTGCAGGTGAGAGAATCTGAGGGAAGTTATTAGCCTAAGTGGCAATAAAGTTCTAATCATTAGCAGTGTGATGCTGGTGCCAAAACAGATCAGAAAAACAATGCATCACAAAGTAGGTCTAAGTGTGGAAATTGGGCTTATTGTAATAGCGGCCTGGATTGAGAGGAGCCAAACAAAAGGATGATTAATGGCCTGGGGACAACCTGCTAGGCATGGTTTCGTTGCTTTTAAAGCTGAATTCTTACCTCGGGCTTTAAGCATAAACAAATTGTGAAAGATCAAAGAATTTAATGTTTTCTGAAAGCCTTTGAACTTGCAGTGTCTTATTTTTAGAAATAATGGATGCATGAATGATGCAGGCCAGTAAGCATGACACAAAACACTCACTGAAAATGGTAAATTGAGGACATAATTTTAAATTTTGGATGCCAAAAAATTTGATACTAAAATCAAAAGACAAACCACAAACATGGAAAAAATATCTAGTATAATAATGGCTAATGGCCTGTAAGAGAGTTGCTAATCAATAAGCAATTTGCCAAAAAATAAAAATGTATAATAAACATATTAAAGATGTTCAGCTTTACTAATAATGAACAAAGTACAAATTAAGATATAATTTATTGTCTACCATACTGAAAAAGATTTAAAAAAAAAAAAAAAGGTTACCATCCTTTTTGATGAGGAAGGAAAGAACACAGATGCTTGCTTAAGAATATGGGCGCCTGGGAGTGCAGTCAAAGTGCCCGACCCTAAGGTTTCAGCTTAGGTCCATCATCTCAGGGTCGTGAGATTGAGACCCACATGGGGTTCTGCACCACACGTCAGGCTCACTCGGCACGGAGTCTGCTTGGGTTTCTCCACCTCTCCCTCTGCCTCTGCGCCTCCCCTCATGCTCACTCACTCCTCTAAAAATGAATAAATCTTAAAAAAAAAAATGTTAATATATCAAGGAGTGCATATTTTTTTTTTTAGAGAAGATAACTTGACAAGATCCATCATAAGATACATACACATTTGACTTAAAAATTATCCAACAGACTTTTTCTACAAAATCATGCTTTTTCACTCAGACATATTCCATAGTCATTCCCACATCTCTCTGCCCTATTACAGGGGGGAAGGGGGTGAGGAGGGGCTCCCTAACCACACTAGCTAGCAGACCACCCCCATCACTATCTCCTTTCTGTTTTCTATGTTTACATAGCATTAATTATACTAACATATTAATAAACCATTTGTCCCTTGTCCCTCATCCATTCTCCACTAGAATGTAACTTCAAAAAATGTGGGACCTTGATTTGTACAGTATCTATAACATGAAAGAGTTCAGTGCTATTGGATGGCAAATATAGTTGCCCGTGTACAAAGGTGTAGTGTGCATGATGGTCAGTGTCCCATTGTTTGTAAAAGCAGAAAGAACACAGAAATGATTAATTCATCCACCAAATAACAGCTAATTATGGCACATCCATGCAATGGAAATCCATGCACTTACTTGAAAGAATGAGGTTAATCTACATTTACTAACTTAAACAGATTATTAATATGAAGACAGTTGCAACATGTAGATATGTGTGGAGAGATGGACAGTTTGTGTGTGTTTATATACAGGCCTAGCTACATGTATACTCAGATGGACATAAATAGTGTAAAGAAGAGTCAGACTCCATCTGATGTCTGCTGCCAGCCCTTAAGCCTCACCCTTCCCTCCTCTTCTTCTGCCCCAACCTCTGAACTGGTAAGACAGCCTGGGGGCCAACAAAAGATCCAAACCACACAAGCCACTGCCCTGGTGTGGGAACCCTCACCCCGGCCACAATAAAAACTCCAGCCAGTCTCCTTGCCTTGCCCTCTCAAGGTCGATTAGGAGCTGCTTGAGAGGGCTGTCCTGCTCTCCCAGGGACCTCCACTATGTAATTAAGTATAAAAAAAAAAAAAAAAAAAAAAACCTTTTCATACCCTGTTGATGTGTGTATACATCATCAGTCCTGACTTAACGATGAAAATATGGGGGGCATTCCATCTTTCTCCACAGGTGACTATAACATGGATACAGATAGATGTAGATAGATAATGTACATATTCATGGAAGTATGTGTACCTACATATATACATGCATCTATAGAATACACACAAATATTACTGGTACATACACACCCAGAAAGACAAATACATGCATAGAAAACAATCTGGAAGAATATGCCCCAAGCTATTAACACATACAGTGGTTAGTTCTGGTGACAGAGAATTTTCACTTTCTCAGTTACACATTTCTGTATTTGGAATTATTTAACAAGCATATTTTGATATTTGGAAAAATATCTAGGGGCATCTGGGTGGCTCAGTCAGTTAATCATCTCCCTTTGGCTCAAGTCATGATCCCAGAGTCCTGGGATCAAGTCCCAAAGCAGGCTCCCCACTTAGCAGGGAGTCTTCTTCTCCCTCTCCCTTTGCCCCTCCCCCTGCTTGTGCTCTTTCTCTCTCTCAAATAAGATCTTTAAAAATACATATATCTAAAAATAAGCCTTGTTAATAAAAAGGAAAAACCCCAAACTATACTTCCAACTCAAGAAGTACCTGAGAAACTAGTGTAAAAAATTTAATAAAAAGAAGCCTAAATAAATTGCAAATCAGAAACAAATTGACTTGATAAATTATGAATTATAGGGGCACCTGGGTGGCTCAGATGGTTAAACGTCTGCCTTCAGCTCAGGTCATGATCCCAGGGTCCTGGGATCGAGCCCCACATCGGGCTCCTGGCTCAGCAGGGAGCCTGCTTCTCCCTCTCCCTCTGCCTCTCGTCCTGCTCATGCTCTCTCTGTATCTCTCTCTCTCTGTATCTCTGTGTCTCAAATGAATAAATAAAATCTTTAAAAAAAAAATTATGAATTATAGTGGAAATATATAAATGGAATTAAGAATGTAAAAGAGGAAATAATCACTAACACAGAAGAAATAGGAAAAAAAACCAAAGAGAATAGTCCCCAGAGTTCTTTGTTAACAAATTTGCATAAATATTCAATAAAAATGTTTCCTGACATTTACTCAAGATAAAAAAAAAAAAAAAAAACAGGAGAACCAAAACACCAGAA